AACACACGGCCCTTTGAAAACCAGCGCTGTAAATATTATCTGCTGAACAGGCTACCGTGTTTAAATAATTTTATTAAAGATTAAAGATTAAAGATTTATTTATAGAACTGTTCACTCATATTACACTTATTTCCCCTGCACAATACAAAATCCAAAATACCACCCGCAACCCGCATTTTTTACCAAACCCTATGCGAATGTTAGCATGTTTTTTTACACGAATTTAAGTGACGCGACCTTCCTCGTGCAGACTAGAAAGATTTCTCACAAATGTGACAAATGAATTAAACATTAATTATTATAATGCATATTAGTTTTTTGTGAAGTTTTCTATGGTTTTCAAAGCCCACATTGTTGTAGATTCAGTTATGTTGCAAACATTCATTTGCAATTTAGAAAACCAATGTATTACAAAAGGCGATTATGTTCATTATAGTTATATATTCTAGCGGCCGAAAGTAAAATTACCACAATCCATTAGAACTGAACCGCAACAAGTCATGCGCCTGGTTGACAAGTTAGAAAATGTCAAACTAAAGCCATGCATAATGGACAATTTTACCTTTTGTAGGTAACTTTTAAAATTTAAATATACCAACCTGATTCTGATCTCTTTTATCTGATAAGTCTGAATCCCATCCCTTTTCGTCCAAAACAGTAACAGTGAAACGCTCTTCATCAACAGTGGCGGAAAACATTCTTTCCTTCGCCTCGCGGTAATACATACACCCAAAGCCTTCCGGCATTTCATGGACTTTTTCGTCTGGTAAATCCATACTATGATTCGCGTCATCAAATTTGCAATTAGAAAGATATTTCGATAAAATTGAGTCTTCTTTAATACAAACGCTATCTTTGTCGATTACATAACGGGAACCTATAAAAAATACGAGAATTTTATTGGACCTTACATCATTACGTCACGTAACTACAACTACCAGAATTAAATAATTTAAAGAGTAATAATAATCTTAATATATACATCGCGTATATGCAAAAATGTTTTTCACGGTGTTATATCTTTATATAACAAGTTCACATTTTAAAATTTGTCAAAGTTCTATTTTCCATTCTGAATGACAGATTAATTTGGTTACATTTCTCAACTAAAGAATCCGTTTCTATTAAAGAATCCAAAGGGTCTCACTATCCTCAATCTTTCAGTAAATAATATTAAGTTTAATTATTTTCAACGCAACAGTTATTAATTCTACGCTAAAAAAGATACAAAAAGTTCGAATGAAATGAATCTACAGAAAGTACCCTTGCGTATAGCTGAATTAAAGAGTTTTTTACACGTTAAATTTATCGACAGTCACGCAGCTTTGGTTCACTTTTTACGTCATGCAGGGTTTCTTTAATGATTAGTCAAGGAAGAGGGAAAGACATAACTAGAAGGCGGTGAACTACAAAAGCCCAAAGTTCAAAGATAAAAAATGTTCCCATTTTCAAGCCTTTGGACGTTGATTTTTTGCATTTTCATGCACAACATGAGGGCTGGGATTGAGGGATTTAGCACAACTAGTTTGTATGTCAAAAGAAGCCCTACCTTGCATTATACTATTTCTTAATTTAAACGTGCAAAATATAATTATGTCTAGTTTTTAGGTTGACACATTTAATATTATTTTGTATGCTGGAAAAAACGACGGGAAATTGACCGAAAAATTGCCATTTATACGCTGATTACAAATTTTTGCACATTTTTGAACTTGTTTTATTTTAACTTATATTTAACAAGACAATTCATCAGCTTGCCTCATAGTTATACAGCGCAGGTCAGCATACTTATTCTCAGTTAAGATGAATTGACTAGCTCTTCTTATGTGTCAATTTGTGGCCGCAATTTGTGGTGGTACACAAGAAAATCGCTCCTTATTGACCTTTGAGTCTTAGGGAAACCCTTTCACAGCAAGTTCGCAAGGCAAATTTCAGTCAAGATTGACGCATGTGCACACGTTTATCTACGATATGAACATATGTGACTCTCGTGGTAAATTAGCCTTTCTCACGATGACGGAATATCCTCCATTTTTTGGTGGCATCTAATTCTCGATAACCAATGCAGACAATTAAAACAATGTGAAAAACAATTTTTCAAAATAAACTAGCTATTTACAAAGCAAATTTACTATCATTCGTCTAAAAAAATATAAAAAGTCGCTGTTATGTGGACTTATTTCCCAGACTTCGCCTGAAATGCCACCCAAGAATGACGGCGTGAAACAGGTTAATTAAGTGACACGCTTAACAGTCCGAAAATAGAATAAATCGGAACAGCAGAAAAATCAAATCGATATTCAGGGGTCTCAATAGAATTTAAGATGAAACGTTTTTATAGAAGTATAGGCGGCTACATGTGGTATCGAAGGCACCACTCACCAAGGGGCTCCGAGGGTGCCTGTCCGTGAAGATTTTGAAACCTGGAGAGTTGTTTTGGAAAATATCGGACCTTTATGAAACCACATTTTGCGTCATCACGTATATATATAACGAGTGAAGCAATGAAGTGCTTGCCTTTGGTGCTAACCTTAGCTTAGTTTATGGTGATAATTTTCACTTTACTTTTCCCTCGACATTTCTGTGGTAAGGAAATAATTTAGGTAATAATTTCGAGAAACAACCAGCGATTGTCCATGGTATAGGCGGCAAATTTGCCGGGTATAGGCGGCAAATTTGCCGGGTACAGGCTTCTATTGGGAACCGGCCCTGGATATATATGTCTGTGAAATCGTCAAGTGTGTTCACGTAATGAAGTTTTCGGCACGAAATGAATTTTGATGAGCGATGCGTTGGAATATTCCTCCTAAATTAAGGGTAAACCCGGCAAAGTTTTTGCGTTAGATTTCCGAAATACAGCTGTTTGGTCGAAATAGCTTTGTTTCTCAACACTAACAACTTTTTTGTACAACTAATTTAACTACGTGCTTAAAACTGTTAACCAATATTTAACTACAAAACTGGGAGTTGAAAGTGGGTAACATTTTTTATACAACTGGCCCCTGTAATTCAGTAAGTTCGCAAAATTCTCATTCTAAATATTCGGTAAACAGCTTTATTCTATAAAGTACCATACCAGCCCTTAATTTCAATCTGCAGTCATACTCTGAATTTGGTGTCATTATTTCCCCTCTGAGAACAGTTTTTGAAGGACAACAAATCCAAGCCTTAATGCTCTCTTCTGCCTGGAGAGCAACTGGTGTTAAAATATATTTTACTCCGTCTGGTGGCTTCTCGTCGCTATCAGGAGGCAAACCTTCCCATGCTTTCAGCCTTACGATTCTGTCTACAAAACAAGATAAAGGAGAACAAAGGATCAAAAGTATATTAATAATCACTATACTAAAATTTTTACAAACCAGTATGAGTATAAATTCACTGCTTCAGGCGCATTGCTCAAATATTAACGCCTCAAACACCTCGGATGCATTTTGTATATAAATTTTCTGTGTGCGTTCATTACAGGCTAACTAATGCTAAATTACAAATGTTTTATTTTCTATTCTAAAAACCTGCTAACAGAAATTGATTGATCAAAACCTACAGTAATTCTCGATCTATACTTTCATTCCCTTATTAGGCTAAAATGAAACGTTCTTAAATCTATAATTATTGACGAAGTGTAAATTAAAGAAACTCTATCAGAAATTCGTTTAAAAAGATGCTCCAATAGTTGGAAAAACAGTTTGAATCCCAACCATGGACTTTCTAATATCAGATGAATTAACTCGTCAAGGGGAGAATCTTGCGGATTAATGGATTAGTGCTGTAATTTTGTGAAGTAAGTGTATACTATAAGCGAAAAATTAGGTTTGAATCCCAACCATTACGTGAAGTCTTGTGATTAAAAAGTATTTTGCGCCAAACTTTCGCTGAAAAACGAGCTTTGACTGAAGTTTCTTCACTCCTCGCAACTCAACTCAGTTTTGAAAGTTGATATTGTCGCGCGTCAGCTTCAACAAATAGTAAGACTTTCCATATAGAAGTTAGCGTTACAGTTTACTTACAGTTCAAGATATATGCATGTTAAGTCACGAATAAGGTCGCCTAAATGTTTTAACGGATAAACCAAAATATGATCATAATGAACCGAACATTACACTTCGGCCACCATTTCAAGATATAGGTACCAGCTGAGCAGTAGCGAAGCCAACCCGACAATTTGGTCATTCTGTGCGCATATACATGTTGTACCTTTGGCGTCAAAAAAGCTCTGACAAAATCAAATCCAATATCTGCCGAAACTACTCATTAATAATCAACTAATTCCAACGACCTATATCGGAGAAAATTTTCAATACGTATACTTAGGAAGATACTTTAACTTTAACATGTCCGATGAAAAACACATGACGTAGAATTCGCGGTTATATAAACGCTGTAGAATTTCACAGGAATACTTATGGTTAAAAGGCATTTTTGACTAAAGAAAGTACAACCTGAAAATCTGTAATAAAAATATGAGGCTTACCTAAAATTATCAAAAAGTGATTGGCTCCTGCATGCGGTTTTTCAGGTTGCAAAAGCGCGACTGTTTTATTCCTTTTGTAGCATGCGCAGCAAACGCACGTGAAAGACCCCAAAATATCGATTGTTTGAGGCAACAACGCTGATTTCACGATGGGTACCACTCGGAACATGTAGGGTTTTATTTAACCTTCAAAAATTCATTAATAATTCAGGAAAAAACACAAAGAAAAATCATAAGCGTGTCGTGGTTTTATATGTGATAAAAAATCACGTTAATCTACATAAATTTAGCTTTGATTTTCTCGGTTTAGACAAAGTTTATTTTAAAAATTACTTCGCCAATGAACTAGTATAAGATGAGTCGTTTTTGAAGCTATTTAAAGCACTTGTAGTCGTGTTTTATCACATATAAAACACTCCGCTACGCGTCGTGCTTTATATGTGATAAAACACTCCTACGCGTGCTTTAAATAGTACTTAGGCTTGCAATACACACGGAAAAATCTCACATCTTGTAGTTAAGTCTGGCAACAAGCAGTCAACAAGTTGTGTTCGCACTGCTTGTTCCAAGTTGACAACAAGTTTGGAACAAGCTCTGAACAACTTGTAACAACCTTGTTGATATTATCAGACTTGTTGCAAGGTTGTTCTAACAAGTCCAATACAGTCATGATATAAAAGCATTGTTACAACCTTGTGTCGTCAACCATGTAACATTCTTGTTATATCTGCAGACTGTACCAGACTTGTTAGAACAACCTTTTAAAATCTTAGAATATCTTTTAAAATATTTTTTATTCTTACTACTTTTCCTCGTGTAGCATCAACAGTATGAAAGTTTAAACAAGAGATTCAAGAATTCCCCATGCAACTATAAAATAGTATACTAAAATTGCATATAAAATGCATCTAAAAATAGTGCGTCCTACTAAATTTTCGCTTGTGCCGTTATCACTTGCATTTTAGACACAAATGACCCCTTGTTCGAAAGAGAAAAGTTTAAAATAAGACTAAAATCACTTTATATATAAGGAGTGGCAGAATCGTACGCCTATTTTTTAACCCTAATTTAATAATGTAATCCATTGGCATTGTGAATAAATAATTTTGATACCCTGGTAACACTGTGCTCAAGCTAGAATGCATGCAGGTGCCCAACCACAGTACTTTCCATCACAAAACAGTTAGCCAACGCTTTAAGAAGAAGCGACGTATTCTAACCAGAGGAAAGTAGAATTATTCTTTTCTTTTAAACAGATGGAGTGATTGGCAAACGTCATAAAGTGTATAAATGGATGTCACAATAATCCATCCATTCATTGCGACGTTACAATAAAATTGTAACGTACTGTATAGTACAAATATAAAGAAAAGGGATTGATGAGTGGTCCAAATTGACGCCCAAAATAATGACTGAAGCCCAAGAAATACAAGAATGCTTCGTAAATATTATCTATCAACTGTTTACGGAAACAAGGAAACCATACGCGAAGCCCCAATACATAGCAGAGATCCAAATCTTCAAGCGAACGGCAATTGTAAGATGATTAGTGCGTTTTCATCAGACGAGGAGAAAGGAATTCCAACTTGGGGAGGAAAATTCTGTTGTTGCAATAGTACAGGTTCACGAATTTTATATCATCGATCAACTGTTTCGCGAGCAACGCAACTGGAAATTCGCAAATTGGAAACGATTCGCCATAACTTTAAAGACGTCGATGCACCGCAGATAGGGCTTATTGGGCCGCGATGGGTAAGTATAAAATACTCCCAATTCACAATAATACAATACATATATTTTAGTCCAAGTGAAATAGTTAAGATATCTACAAAAAATATACAAAATTGTCTGAATATAATAGTGACAACGATGGTCAATCGTAATAATAAAATATTTAATGTTGCTTATAAAAAGTGTTCCGAAATAAATTATTCGTATGCTATTCATGGTAAAGGGCAACCCGCAAGCTATTCTACTTTAGCTAGAGCACGTTTAGGGGAAAAGGGGAAGTAGAAAGGCTGGTTTGCGAAGCTGGATAAAGGCCTGGAAACTAAACAATAACTTGTTTATCCATTCACATCCCTTGTCCGCCATATTGATTTCGAGAAACTGCGCCGAAAAAACGAATTACTAACCATATCATAAAACTGAACAGAAAAAACGACTGCAGTTACAAATTCAGAGGTATTTTAAAGTATTATTTCCACTTTTATGCACTTTAAATTTATCTAGTAGTCCACTAAGGAAGACTCCGAGTCCCCGTAAGAGTAAGCATTCCTTTGCGAAGATAGTTCGACAACGTTTCCTTTTCTTTGCCAAACGGCGTATTTAGGTGAACAAATCAAAAAAGTTATCGACACAAATACGAAATCTGAAAATCACAAAGGTAAAATTATTCATACGGACTGCGGCAGTCAAGGTAGGTATACCTGAAAAATACAAGTGAAACTTGGACACTTCGAGCGAAGGCCCTTCGCAGAGACATTTAAACTGCCAACAAATTTCACAGCCCCGATCCCAGATAACCTTCAAGAATACATTTCAAACATTTACCATGACCTCAAAACAGAATATGAGAAACACAAAGAACATGCAAAACCAAACATATCTAAGGATGAACTACAAGCTGTCCATAACCTTAAAACTGATTATTTGATTGTTAAACCAGCAGATAAGGGAGGAGCCATTGTTATCTGGCCCAGAGATGCCTATCTAGCTGAGGCATATACATGTAGACAATTAAATGACTCAAATAATTATCAAAAACTCACATATGACCCAACCCTTGAGACATTAGCAGAAACTAAAAGACTTGCCAATAAACTCCACACATCAGACATAATTGACAACACAACACACAAATTTCCAACAATTGATAATCAAGCAAGGACACCACAACTCTATCTTTATCCTGAAACATATACCATCATATGTACAAGACACAACAGAATTTCTCCGCAGAATTTTTTCACTAAATCAGGACTTACCAAACAATATCATACTTATCACATTTGATGTTACGAGTCTCCATACCAACATACCTAATGATCAGGGCATCCAAGCCTGTGTAGATATGTTGAATGAAAACAATATAATAACTCCCGAAATAAAACAATCAGTTATTGATATCTTATCCCTCATACTCAACAAAAACTCCTTTACATTTAACAATGAACATTTTCTACAAATTCATGGCACTGCTATGGGATCACCTATGGCACCCACTTATGCTAACATATTTATGGCAATATTAGAACGGAAGCTTCCCAATTAATGAAGCACAACAGGGTCTTATACCAATTGAATGGATAAGATTCATACATGACATATTTGCAATTTGGACTCATGGCATTGCAAAACTACAGAAATTCCTATCATACATTAATAACTTCCATCCCACAATTAAATTTGACTACACATACTCATACAAATCAGCCAACTTCACAACTGTTTACATTAATCCAAACAATAAACTCGAATCAGACCTATACATCAAACAAACTGACAGAACTCTACTACTACACCAAAACTCCTTCCACACACAAACATGCAAAAATTCTATTGTCTACAGCCAAGCACTACGATATAGACGTATCATCACTGATAATACGAGACTACAACAAAGACTGGCAACGTACTAATTGCACTCATTCACCGAGGCTACAAACATGACAACATTATCACATCTTTTAACAAAGTAATACTATACACACAGAATGAATTACTTTATAAAACAGAAAATGCAAACAAAACAACTAACAAACCAATATTCACAACTCAATACAATAGTAATGCGAAATACATTGCACAAATAC